TTCGAATGCATATTTGCAATTACGGGTGAGGAACGAGATGCAGAAATTGTTGACGATAACCATGTCAAAGGGGTTGTTCGCCTTTCGGAGGTTGCCGTTTGGGTTGAGCCTTTCTGCGCTAATATTTCAGCGGACGATAGCGGCAGTGTTTCATGGATTAGGAGTATTTTATTATATGAATAATTTGTTGGCGATGGGGGCACACCGTAGCAGCATAATTGAAAGTTGGAGGAGGTATTTCAGAGAATACGAGAAGGGATTACGAGCAAGTAGAGAGAAAAGTGTACTGGGAGTAATGGAGATGTATTTGGAACATCGGTTTAATTGAAAGGAAATACGGTCACTAGATAAGAATATGGTTAAAATCAAAAGTATGGTGAAGCCGCGGTGTAAGACGGAGGTAAAATCCTTTGTAGGGATATAAATTACTAACATACATCGGCCTGTTGAGAATTTTGCCTGAAGTGGCAGCGTCGTTGTACAAGTTGTTAAAAAAGGGAGTAAGATTTGAGTGGGGAAATGAGCAAGATGCTGCGTTTGAGGGTCTGAAGAGGAAAATTGGAGAAGAACTAATTTTGGTATGTCTTAACAATGAGTTGGAAGTGGTCTTGGCGGTGGATGCATCGAATAAAGGAGTAGGAGGGACATTGTTGCATGAGATGGATGGAATAGAGAGACCGGTGTTGATTTCTCAAGAATTCCAGGATGCAGAAACGAGGTATTCGGTAATCGAACAGAAGGCCTTGGCGGTTTGGATTGACTAAATGAAGAGAATATTTGATTGGGCGAGGTTTGTGGTGTATACGGATTACAAGTCGTTGATACATTTGTTTAAAAGGGATAACAAAGAGTTGATGATGTCTCCGAGGTAACAGAGGTCGTTGTTATTGGTAGGAAGTTTTGATTTGACGTTGAAATATTTTAGGAGACGATGGAACTATTTGCCGGACATTATGTTGAGATGTGGGATAGAGATGGTGTGAGCTATGTCTACGATTTTAAAAGGGGCCCGGTGAGCTGGAAAGAAATTCGCGCGTCTACGATGAAAGACAGATATTTAAGTCGAGTAAAGGATTGCATAATGGGGCGTAGGCCATGGCAAGATAGAGGTAAAGGGCACAAGAGTGTGGAGAATTAACAGTATTGGATGATTGTGTAGTGCATGGAAATAGAGCGGTGGTACCTAATAGGCTAGGAGAAGCTGTGATAGTGATGTTGCATGCTGAGCATCAGGGAGTGGAACGGATAAAACAGTTGGAAGGTGGCCGGGAAGAGGCTGGCTAAGCAATGTGTAGTGTGCAATACCTGAGCCAGTATGCCATCGAGGGATAAAAAGAGTACATGGCCGAAAGCGTCGGGGCCCTGATAGAATACATGTGGACTTTGTTGAGTTTGAAAGGAAAGAATATTTTCTTGTGGTAGATGCATACTCCAAGTGGGTAGAGTTCGAGATTGTGGATGGATTGACAACAAAAATTGTGGCCAGATAATTGAAAAATTTATGGCTGAAGTTAGAAGTGGCCAAGGTAATAGTGTCCAATGGAGGTCCAGCCTTTATTAGTGAAGGGTTCGGAATTTTGTGTGGAGGGTGAAGCGATGTGCTGGCGCCATCTTATCACCCGAGCTGGCAGGCTGAGAGGATGGTGGGAGTCGTAAAAAGTTGGTTGAGAAACGCCAAAGTTGGAGATGAGATATGGGCATTGGTAGGATATTATAATAATAGCCGAAAAGAGAAGGAGTTGTCGCCGTCAGAAAAGTTTTTGGGTCGTAGAACTCGTATTAAGTTGGATACAATGAGGTCAGTAAACAGGAAAATGGTGATAAGTTTGAGGTAGGTAACTTAGTGTGGGCATTGTATGGAAGTGAAAAGAAATGGGAATCGGGAGTGGTGATCGAAAAAATGGGTAGAATGCTTTGCCGTATAAGGTTCCCGGATGGGAGAATGGGGGTCAGGCATGCTGACCAGCTGAGAAGGGGGATAAGACCAGGGCCGTTGAGGTCCGGAAGTAGGGAAGTATAGGACCCGGATATTTTTTTAAAATTTTTTTTCAAGGTCATTAGAAAATCAAGGCGAATAGAGTCGTTCTATTTGCACTTTAAAGCTATTAATGAGATGACTTTTATGGATGGATGTATCACCACAACGGTATGATATTAATAATTAAATTTGTTGGATCGATAATAGAATGAACACTCAAAGAGGGGGAATCGATAATATGGAAATTATTTGTGGATGATATTTAGGGAATTAGATAAAAAAGAATCATTGAAAATGGATTTGTATTATTTGTGTTACATAAAATTTGTCGTATTAAACATTTGAAAATATTAAATTGTATTTTATAAAAAACAAAAAATTGTAAATGCAAAAAAATTACAGTAAAATTTACTATAAGTATTTTTTTTAGTATTTTTGTTATATATTAATGGATCGCCATTTATTTTGTAATGTGCAAAAATATAATTGTTTTATTTTTTTAATGTTTCATTGCAAATATACTATTTTACCCTGAAAACTCTTATAATTACCGCGCTATCGCTATCTTACAGAAAAGTAGCGTGCTATAGCTACCGTTATTTTTTTCAAAAAGTATCGCGCTATAGCTACCGTTAATTTTTCAAAAAGCAGCGCGCTATAGATGCCGTTATCTTTTTAAAAAAGTAGCGCGCTATTATCTATAAAAATATGACTATAAATATATGTGTAATTTATTTATCTTTTATTGTATTTCAATAACATTTATATATTGTCATCCCCAAGTCTGGGACGACGATCAGAAAGTATAAACTTTATCATGCTAAATAATTGTTCAACAATTGTACTTCTGGGAAATGCAGTATTAATTTAATATACTTATTTTTTTATATATGAAATCATCAAAAATATTTATTTGAGTATTTTTAGATTTAAAAATTGTATCTGGAGGATTTTCAGTGATATTATTTATTTCAAGTTTTTTTAACTGGCTAGGGTATGGTTTGGTATAGTTTTATTTGATGCTACCATTAGCTCAAGTTGTTTTTTGGATTTAGTAAAATTAATATATGTGCAATTCAACTTGATACTAGGGTGAACAATAGCAGCTATGCTTAACATCCAAATAATAAAGATAATGATTTATTAAATATTATCATTAAATACATGAATCTGATGATAAAATGAGATGTTAATATTAATAATTTATTGTAATTTTTAATTTATAATAATATCTATTAAATCAACTTTCACATAAACTCATAGCTCATAAACTATTATAAATATAGTTTTGTTTAGATTAAAACTTTATTTTATAGATTAAGGATTGTGCCTTTAGATGCCCTCTCAAGTTGAATCTACTAGCTTTGTTTAATGAAAAAGCCTGCGCAGATCTTACAACAAAATTTATACCCGGTGTTTATTTTTTTTATTGAGATTAAAATATTTTGCAAATTTAGGAAAAATACATATAATAATCATTTTACAAAGAAATTGTTTTTTCGATATGATCTATACCAAAATTTTCTTATATATAAATCTCTATTGTCGACATTTTAAATTATCTTAAAACTACTCGTCAAATCCTCCAATGGATATTCTAATTATTATTTAATCGCTACTTTTTTCCAGTAGCGGTAGCTTTAGCGCGCTACTTAATAGCAATAGTGAATTTAGAAAGTAGCGAAATATATAATAAAAATTATTAAAAATATATTTATAATTTTAAAAATAATATTAAATTTATGATCTTTTATTTAACTTAATATTAAAAATCGGTATTATAAATCTGTTTTCAAAATAATTTAAAATTTAAACGATAGAGATTCATATTGAAGATAATTTTGGTACAGATCATATCTACAAAGTTGTTCATAGAAAATGATAATAATATTGAATTTCCTTTTCCCACATTCGCAAAATATTTAATCTCGATAGAAAAATTAACACAGGGTATAAATTTCGTTATAAGATGTGTTTATGTTTATCACCAAACAAGACTAGTAGCTTCAACTTGAATATACATTTATAATACATCAAACCAATTGTAAAAGTGTAGCCCAATCCTTAATCTTTAAAAAAAATTGAATCAGTATCTATAACAGTTTTTGAGCTAGATGAGTTATGTGAAAGTTGATTTTCTGGTACAGTCAAAAGATGGTATACTTCAACTGGTCATAAGATATTATTCAAGAATTATATTATAAATTAAAAATTAGGTAAATAATTAATATTAACATCTCATTTTATCGACTCATCTATTTAATGACAATATTTTATAAATTATTATCTTTATTTTCTGGATGTTAAACATGCTTAAAATTAATCACTCATCTATTTATATATTTTATCAAAGCATGCTAAATACTTATTTCAATCCTTTCATTTGATAAATTTTTTTTTTTTTCAATTATATTAAATTGATTGTATTGTGGAAACAATACCAATTAGTACAAGCACAAATGAGAGGGCCTTTTCTTCATTAAAAAAAAACCTATCTCAAAAGTACGATATCTTAAAATTGATTGAATGGACTATCATTACTTAAGATACATCGAGATTTAATCCCAGCATAAAACAAATCATGGAAAAATTGATGCAATCGCAAAGAAGATTAAATTTTATTTATGAACAATATTTTGATTTAAATTATCTTATAATATATTTTTCTATATTTTACTGTGATATACAAACCGATTTAATAGATATTAATATTATATCTTTTAACAGTATTATATACACGCTTAAATATTTTGTATATTTGTGTCCGAAATTATCATTTTTTAAATATGATTAGTTCTAATATTTATATGATATTTCTAATAAATTTTTAATGCTTCAGCAAAAAATCATTTCAGCAGAATAAGATTTTTTAGTGATCATTTATTTGGAATTGTATTTTATTAAATATGGGTTATTAAATTCTAACATTTTCATTTTTAGCCCGATTTGCCTGTGGATATATTTCAGTGTAAATATCAAAAAATAATAGAATTCAAAAAAGTGTTTATTTATTTTTGCCAAATTTACATATGAGTTAAGGGCATGCATAAAATTCTTAATTGTAAATAACTTTATAATTTATAGATAGATATTATCAAATGATTAATTAGTTTTTTTGTGGAATAATGTTTGGTTTTTGAGGCAATGGTAATTTACTGAAATAGGATTTGGCCTTTCTTTCGGCGTTGATCTCCAAATTGTAAAGAGGATGAATGTAACTCTAATATAATTCATGAAGGTTTTTAAGGAAAAACAAATAATATATATATTTTACAAAATTATTTATTACCAAATCATTGTTTGGGTTTCCAATTATGAATGGTTTGTTATTAAATGAATGTTGAGCAACAGAAAGGCCAGATAAAGCGTAACATGTGTGATAATAATCTTTAGGTCTTAAAAATATAAAAATTAATCGAGTGTAATTGAAACTTTGCTAAAAAAAATTAAAACTTTTATACACATGAAATTTAAAAATGAACTAATAAATAAAGAAAGAATAAATAGTAAAGATATCACTAATTATAATATGGCAAATTAAAGAGGGATATTTATTAAACTTCATAAACATTAAAATAAAATGTGACGTGGATCCAGAGATTTCTATAAAGGGTAGAGTCGTTTCTACTAAAAAATAAATTGCACATATAAATTTTCGAAAAACAAGCGGTTTGACTAACTACAAATGTTAAGGTAATAAAAATTTGCAGTTTACCTTTTTCATATATTATCTATTATTTGTAGTGAGATTGATTTTCCTATGATATAAATAATTTATAAAAAATTTCTATATTAGATATATTGAATAATAAAGAAATATACATTAATAGTTGAATTTTCTTTTATCTCATAATAAATCGCTTAAATCCTTTAATATAATTATATTAAAAATATTTATAATTAAATTTTAAATTTCACTAATATTAAATCCGTAAGTTGGCGTGTATTATTATAAAATACTATTATAAAAAAAAATAATCATTTAAAAATGTTATATATCAAGAATTTACTCCTAAAACATTAAAGGTTCATTTTAATATGCTGAATTATCATACGCATGGTGGAGTGCTATATATAATATTTAAAACAAAGTCATGCCGGTAAAGTATATTGTTAATATTACGATATAAAATATTATTTTGGGTCAAATGATATTCAATAATACCAAGTTACTATTTAAATAAAATAATTTAAATATTATTTATCTTGATTTATCTAAGTATTATAGTAAATGATTAATTTATATTTATATAATTAGAATCATATTTATATAAATATTTCACATGATGGCATTCATTCATTTACCTTTTTTTACCTCATTTTATTAGATTAAAAGATTACATTCACAATAGATTTTTTTCTAGTCGTCACACTTAATATATTCAATCAGAAATGGATAATCACGTAAGATAATATTTATATTACATGGGTGGGTCCTTAAGAATCTAGATACAGATGTGAAAAAATTAATCTTAGATGCAGATACTAGTATTTTTTTCAAAATATCAAAAAGATACTTGCATCTAATTATCATTACCAATTAAATTAGAATAGTTTATTTATTTATTATTTATTTGTGAAGAACATAACATAATTATTTAGTAAGAATGAATATTTACAATAATTAATAAAATATTTAATGATGAGTTAATATATTAAGCATTTTAATATTAGTAATTAATGGCCCATTCTTAGCGTAGATATACCTAGACTAGTATTTTTAATGGGAGTTGAAATATTTATTTGTAAAAGAGTATTTAAAATAGATTTATTATTTTATAAGATAATCAAAATTTTAAAATACTTTAGTATTCGACCTTAGCCATTTTGGCATACATAGCATTTTACCAAGACTAAATAACCTTTCAATTGAAGCTGATGAAGATATTACAGTATTATATTTATAAAAAAATTTAATTAATGGAAAGATAATAATTAAACATTTATAATGTATTTCAACTTTCATAATATAATTTATAACCTCTACACTTAAAGACCCTTTTTATGATCATTTAAACAATCAAATTATATTACTTTAATGATTAAGTTTACAAAACAAAATTTATAGAAAAAGAAATACATGGACGCTTAACCCACCAACAATTCTCATTAGATATTAGCCCACGTTAAAACCCCAAATAATTATATCTCAGAATAGCAAATCAAAGTCTTTAGAAATCAACTGAAAATTCAAACAAATACACCTACCCCCCCCCCCCCCCCCCCACCTCTACATTCATTACTTAAAATCAATATATCATTTTACAAATAAAATATAATGTCATTTAAAATATCCAGAATCCCTTATCTAATATATTTTCCCTTAAAAATGGTAAATCTTTATACATTTTTATGGTAGGTGTAAATTATCTACAAACATTATATGTTTGATAACATTTTTCTGTTATATCTTATTTATTTATTGTAATAATGGCAATAAAAACAAATTGGCTATTTAGGGAAAATATCAATAGAAAGTATGCAAAAATTATTTTAAAAAATTAATTTATCTTACATTAACCATTAAAATGTGATCATATATAATTAATAAAAACCTATATTTGTTCTTGGAATTTTTCAAATCAATTTTTGATAGATAATATATAGAATTTAGCTTACTTTTTAAGTAATAATACAATATGATTTTAGAATATAATATAACAAAAAATATTTTTAAATTTTTTTATAAAATAATAATACGCCATCTTACGGATTTAATATTATTGTAATTTAAAATTTAATTCTAAATATTTTTAATATAATTATATTAAAGGATTTAAACGATTTATTATGAGATAAAAGAAAATTCAACTATTAATGTATATTTCTTTATTATTGAATATATCTAATAATTTAATTTTTTATAAGTTATTTATATCATAGGAAAATGAATCTCACTACAAATAATAGATAATATATGAAAATTTTTACCTAAGTATTTGCAGTTTACCTTAAAACAAGTAATGCACAAAAAGGTTAAAAAAAATTCGTTTACATATAACATATACTTAGATTAGAAAGTATATCCAGGGTATGTTTTAAATATATAAAAATGTCATGAAAAAATTCAAGTCAAAATCGCATTCTAAATTTATTCCTTAAATTGTGTGAAGAACTTATTTAAATTTGAAGGAATATAGAAGATCTTTATATGGGTTACATGTCAATACCGCGAAAATTTTAGCGCGAAATGTATTATCGCGAATGTCGATTACCGCGAAAAGATATTATAGCGAATGCATTATCGCGAATATAATATAGCGAATGCATTACCGCGAATATAATACAGCGAAAATATTATAGCGAATGTAATACCGCGAAAATGTTATCGCGAATGTATTATAGCGAATACATTACAGCGAATGAATTATCGCGAATGCATTACCGCGAATGCATTATAGCGAATGAATTATCGCGAATACATTATAGCGAATCCATTATAGCGAATGAATTATCGCATAGCAAATGCATTATCATATCGCGAATGGAGTTTCATGAAAGTTACAATTTTATATTTATCGACTTTTCGACTGACTTAGTTGAATATGAAAATTAAGTTAAAATGGGGATTGGCTCTAAAAACATTTTTTTATTGAAATTAAGGCTAAGGCTTTTCTTTTTTTGACTCAAAATATATAAAAAAGATTCTAAGTAATAAAATAGATTTCTCCTTTTCATCTAATCATTTTAAATATTAAACATGAAAGTTACAATTTTATATTTATTGACTTTTCGACTGACTTAGTTGAATCTGAAAATTAAGTTAAAATGGGGATTGGCTCTAAAAACATTTTTTTATTGAAATTAAGGCTAAGGCTTTTCTTTTTTTTGACTCAAAATATATAAAAAAGATTCTAAGTAATAAAATAGATTTCTCTTTTTCATCTACTCATTTTAAATATTAAACGTCAAGTTTTTTCCTTTTAATTTATTGAAAACTTGTAGGGGAGAACGGGGTTATGGCGAACGTTAAAGGCAAACCTTAAGAAAATTATAAGTACTTTTATTAATTTAAATATATAATTTTACAATAATGTATTCAATTATAATAAAAAAATAAAATAGCAAATATATATTTTTATATTATTTTATATTTTTTAGTAAAAATATAAACTCTATAAGCAGCTAGCAGATTGTAATTGTATTCTCATATTATTTTTATTAGATTTTTGGTTAGAAAAATTCATTTTTGTGGCAATATAGTGAATTGATCTTTAATAATATATGAAGAGTTTTATAAATAAAATTAAATTCTATATATAAATTGAAACGCGAAAGTGATATTTAAAAAAATTACTAATCAAAAATATTAAGGGTTGTAAACATTAATAAATTTTAATATAACGAGTTAGATTTCAGGCACTAGTCTTGATCCCAAGTTCAGTTAGGATTCCAGAATTTAAAAAAAATTAAATTATTATTTTAGAGTAATATAATATAACAAAATATGAGTTAATAAACAAGTCATGTAATCTATTTATAAATCTTATTTCGTAGTATCATCTTTAAAAAAATTGAAAAAAAATTATTGCACCTTTCATCTTTTTAAAGTAAGGTGCCAGAAGTAAATTATAGTTTGGTAATAACTTTATTTTTATCCACTTCCAAAAATGATAGAAAAATATTATTTCAGCCGTTGGGTTATTTTTGAAAGGATAGCTTTATCAACGCCAAAAAAAATTATACTTTTATTAATATTTATCTATTTTTTACAGTACAGACAAAATTGAATTTAACATATTTCAATGTCATAATTAGTAATAAAATAAATAATATAAATGTCGTAAATTAATATACCTGTGTTCTTCGGTCTGCATTTTTTAGCTCTGATTATTTAAAGCCCTGCCCTAAATTTTCAAATTTCGTTATTTTCTCTGTATTTTATAAATTGTTTTATACGAAATTTAAGATAAGTAAATAATATTAAAGCATAATTAAAATGTTTTTCACTATAATATTAAACGGCATAAAAATATGGATTTGTGGCCTTCTGTCTCTCTTAAAGTTGAAATTGTTTTAAACAGTATCATGAATAATAAACCAATTTGCACAGTGAGATTTAGAAATAATTAAATAGACAGAATATGAAATTAAAAAATCTTCTTTTCCCATTTCAGAAAGTCTCATAATCATTATGTTTAAAAATATTTATTGTAGGCATTCCCTTTCAGGCAGAATAATATGATTTGAAAATAACTTACAAAATATTAAATTTGAACTAAATTCACATATCATCTCTATTGAAACCACCAAAATATATAATTAAATATATTTTTTATCATTTTAAGATTTATATTTGAAACAGGAGTTGGCATTTATTATTTTTAAATTTAACAATGTTTAAATTTAAAAAAGATAAGATTTTATGTTTTAAAGCTATAAAATTAATAATTTTGACGATTACAAAAGATTTAATAAGATAGAGGTCTCAATCCAATGTTCCCCTTCAACTAATATCAAAATATTTTTTTAGCGCTGGAAAGGGTTAGTCATATCTGTAACTAGGGGCTAGTAGAATTAGGTCGAATTAATTATATTATGCTTAAAAATATGATATAATAAGTATTCATTGGCTATTATAGCTTTAAATTCTATTTTTTTCCCTTTAACTTTCACCTTTTCTGGTGGTTGATAATCAAAAGAATTAGAAAAAAATTAAAAAATTCATTAAAACTTAAACATTTTTTATAATAAAATATCACATTTTGAAATTTTTTATGAATTATTTATATACAAATGGTGTATTATTGATAATAACAATTATCCTATAGGAGACTTAATAAACCAATATAATCTACAAGCCTGGGGTTTGGGGCTTGTTGGGGCAAAAATTAACTTTTATTAGATCTTAAAATATAAAATATTAAAATATTTATTAATAGGGTCTTTTGTAAAAAACGACTTAATCTAATCGTTAAAAAAATTGAGTATACCAAATTACACATATTTTTTAATAAAATACGAATTTCATAAATAACAAGTGACGTGTTTTAGAGGTAAATAATTTTAAAACGCTACTTTAAATAAATATAGACAATTAGGCTGGTTCTCTGGTTTTTTGGAACTTAATAAATGGGTTAAATATAATTTTGTCAAATATAAATCACTATTGCATTGTGATAATGTTAGTTGTAATGCATTCGCGATATTGCATTCGCTATGATGCATTCGCGATAATGCATTCGCTCTAATACATTCGCTATGATACATTCGCTATGATACATTCGCTGTAATGCATTCGCTATAATGTTTTCGCGGTAATGCATTCGCTATAATGGATTCGCGCTAATATATTCGCTATAATACATTCGCTATGATGCATTCGCGATAATGTATTACATTCGCTGTAATGCATTCGCTATAATGTTTTCGCGGTATTGCATTCGCGCTAATATATTCGCTATAATACATTCGCTATGATGCATTCGCGATAATGCATTCGCGGTATTACATTCGCTGTAATGCATTCGCTATAATATTTTCGCGGTAATGCATTCGCTATAATATTTTCGCGGTAATGCATTCGCTATAATGCATTCGCTATAATGCATTCGCGCTAATATATTCGCTATGATACATTCGCTATAATGCATTCGCGGTAATGCATTCGCTATAATATCTTTTCGCGGAATCGACATTCGCGATAATACATTTCGCGGTATTGACGTGATACGCTTTATATGTATATTTTTTAAATTTAGGATGAAAAAAACATTTTTAAAGGATGTTACATACCCCCCCCCCCTCACCCCACCCTAACCCTTAACTGAAATACAAAAAAATAATCATTCAATCTTATTATTTTTTTTAGCAATTCTTCAGTTTTGAATAAATACAATGATCAATATATTAATTAAAGGATTTGATTTGAATAACAACTATATTATTTGGCATTTATATATAGAACCCTTAAATTAATCATGTAAATATAAAAAGCCTATCATGCAAAAATAAAGGTTTTTACTTTCCTGGTTTGTCTATCAAGCTACCGGTCAAACTTTGACAACAAATTAGTATATACTCTTGTAAAGCTTCTTGGGGTTTCATGATAAAAATATAATAATAATAAGATTTTTTTTAAAAAAGTTTCATTAACTATTACCTGAATCAAAAATCCAGTTATCGAGACAGGGAATGTGAGGAGAATCTGCTAAGAAGTAAATATAATTTACTACATTTTAAAGACTATTATTTAGACCTTATAACTATAATATCCAAAATAATATAATACAGTGACGACAAGGGAGGCATTGATTCCTTATCATTTTCTTTTACACAAAAACAAAGCGTTTGTTTTATATTTTTTTAAAATATTTAATCCCGTCGTTTATTTATGATTATATATGAAAAAATTGATGTTTCCGTGCTTTATTTATTGCAATTTAGTAAAATTTGGTTTATTTAACAAAAATTTAGTCGTTAAGCATGTTATCAAAAAATTGATTGTTTGGGCCTGAGATGGGTGGGGGGGGGGGATTTATCACCTTAATATTTTGTATATTATGGCAAATAAAAAAAATCAATTATTTCCCTATAGTAGTAATCTTTATGCTTTGTCATCGTATCTTATTTAATAATACTTTTGGTAACTAAAAAGGTAAGAGTCAACAGCAGCGTATCTCTAAATTTATGGAAACTGGGGGACGTAAAAGAACGTTATAAAAATATCATCCAAATATCTAGAAAGGAACATAAATGTTTTACGTTAGGGGACCAGAGAGCTCAAATTCCCTTGAAAACTTGGATGGCCCACTATTAAAAAATGTATATTCATTTCAGTTTTTGCAAATTTTAGATAGAATCTGACTAATTTTAGAAATTATCTTTCTTGCTCATTTTGGATATTTTTTTTTAAAAAGGTGTGCCTCTTCAAGTTAAAAAAGTTAGCGACTATCACTGTACTGATCCATATCTAGATTTATAATAGAGATCTGCAAATCACGGCTCGGCCCTGTAAAAAATAATTTCTGGTCGGGCTGAGTGGGGCCTATATTTTTTAAAAACTTTCGGGCCGGACCAGGTTGGGCTTAAATTTTTAAATATTATATCATTACAGTTTTTCAAATATATTGATATATTTTAAAATTCTTGCAAGAAACAAGGCGTTAATATTTATTTATAGAATATTTTTTTTACAAAAAAAATAAATAAATTTTTATATATTTAAATATTTTCGGACTGGGCCGGGCGGACAAATTTTTATTTTTGTTTCGGCTTTTCGGGACAAATAAAAAATTTGTTAGGGAATGGCCGGGCAGGACAAATTTTTAAAAAAAATTCGGGCCGGGCTTGAAAAATTAGGGTCGATGCAGATCATTAATTTATAATATCCACAACCTAATTTTAAAATATCAACGAAGAAACAAGTAAATTATTAATTAAAAAAAGGATTTTTAAAATTTCTAATTTATTTTATATTATATAATTAATTATAATATGAACCGGATTTTTGTGTATTGTTGCACGATTTAAGATATTGGGCTTCGAAGATGAGAGGGAAAATTGCTCCAACCCAAAATGAATAGCATGAATCCACTAACTTATTCGTCCTGCCATTAAATCCTCCCTCGATTGGCATCTGCCTATTTACCAACCATCTCTATTCCGATAAAAAAAAAGAGAAGTTATTATCATCTTGTTATTTTTAAAATTATCGTAACAACGTGGCGAAATCAGCATATCCATATTTTTAAAATAATAAATTTATAACAGCCTAGTAACCTTGATTTAAAAACAGGAATTTTAAGTTTCATGGCTAAATAAATATCCTATTTATAAAATCGAGATCAACTACTAAAAACAGTTTTCAAGTTTTTAAATAATAAATATAAGAGTGGGTAAAAAAACCATTAAACTTGGCATATCACATAAATGTTGTTTATCCATTAACAAGAGAGTGGCAAAACCACAAAAAGTATATCCACCATGAGCTTCACTTCCGGGTGTGCAAGAAAATCCGCCTTCATATGTTTGACAACTTTTTGTACCAATTTATATTAGATATGTTACAATATATATATTTTATATATAAAATGACTTCATGATCTTAACATTTAAAAAATCTTCTTGTAATTCATTAGAAAATGCAAAGATTTCTCTCGGCCCTGTAACCAAGGATGTTAGGATAATTATATTAAATTAGGTTAAAATTACTTTGTATGCAAAACTCTTGATGAACCATTAGTTAAATTTAATTATCATATAAAAGAATATGAATTAACTAATATTGACCATATGATAAGATATTTTAAATTTGGTGTAACAAATTTGAGGACCATTATTTTGGAGAGGCCGCCCTAAGATTAACCCTTGTTGCCTTCATATATTTTTTATAAAAAAAAACAAAGGTAATCAATTTTTTAAATAATACCTAACTATCCATTCATCGGTTTTGTAAAATAAATCCTCGCGATAAATATTGAGTAACTTACTAACCGTTATGGCGCAATAAGTTCCTCTTATATCAATTTCCCCGGAATCGTTTAAACTAAAACTACCGTCTTCACGTTTCATATTGTACAAAAATTTGAGCAGATTTTCTCTTTTTGATATGATAAAAAATTTCTTTTTATAAATTTAAAGTTAATAATTAGGGAATAAGTTAAGGAGATAAGGATAAACTGATAATTGTTAAAGAAAGAATGGACAATATATATTTAAAAAATCTTTTATAAAAGATTTAAAAAATACATAATTTGATTTTACATGAAGTCTTGTTTTAACTTTTTATAACTAAAGATTAGATTCTCGGTGGTATAGCGGAGCATTCGAAGGATAGAACTTCAAAGAAAATGTTGAACATTGTAGGACAAACGCAACCGTAGTTAAGGAAGGCATGCGCGATTTGGAGAATATTTAAATTAGTTTTTTTAAAGCTCAACTTTAGACAAATTAATAATAAAAATAATAACAAACTCAAAATAAAAATAATTAACTACACTTGGAAATAAATCCTTTCATTTTTTTACAGCTCACATCAAAATTCTGTTCCACTATTAACTAAGTTTCTGATAAATAGACATAAAGACAGATGGTTTTTCATGCCTGTGGAGTGGATATATATTCAAGCTAAAGATTAATTTTGTGATTAAAATGAGGGGTCGAAAAAACGATTTTTTTTCCTTCTAAATTTGGAGCTTGGATGTTGGTTTAGGAAATCAATTGCCTTTTTTTGGATGAGATAAATACACAGGTTTCATTTTCAAAGAATGGTTAAAAGGATAACGGCAGTAGTATCAAAATACTCAAATTATATCATTGTTTAATGTTTCATTAAATTTTTTATGATTAAAATAAGGGTGTCGAACCAAACCTAAATAAACCGCGAAACCGAAATAAACCGTTATAAATTTTCGAACAGTAACCAAACCGGTATAAGAATTTTTTTGAGCTAACACCGAAACGTAGAATAAATTCGAACCGATTTAAACCTGTTAAAAAATAATACATGTTTTTCCTTTATTATACTATAAGATATATTCATCTAGTTAAAAAAAAGAATTGCATAAAAAAAATTGTGTTTAATATTACTTCTTTCGTTATTATTCCTGTTTATAATGAAATAAAAAATTTCAACTCATTTTCCTTAATTTTTATTTAAAAATTTTCAAATATTTGATTATTATATTTAATTCTTTAAAATATTTTTGTTTGGTTTTTATTTTTAAATTGTTAAAATATTTTTGTTTGATTTTAATTTTTACTTCTTTCGTTATTATTTCTGTTTATAATGAAATAAAAAATTTCAACTCATTTTCCTTAATTTTTATTTTTAAGTTTTTCAAATATTTGATTATTATATTTAATTCTTTAAAATTTTTTGTTTGGTTTTTATTTTTAAATTGTTAAAATATTTTTGTTTTCTTTTAATTTTTAGGTTTAAAAAACTTTTTTTCTCGTTATTTGGTCAATTAATAAAACATATAATGCATTTAAGAATATTCAAAACTTATGAAAACTATAACGAAATGAAAAGACCGGATATAGATTTCTAAATTAAAATGAACCGATATAAACTTGTTTAAGTATATAATATAACTAGACCGTTTTAAACTTTAAAATAAAAACAAAGATAGAACTGAACCGTTATACCTATATTGGTTCGATACCCTAATTAAAATTTATGCTTTACAATAATTTCATGATTATATATAGGAAATGACTTATTTTTACATTTTTTTTTCAATTTATCATTATCATCGCACTTACTGCTGAAAAATTGGAATAGAAACGCAAAATCAATGATACGAAAACATTTGTTTAACATAAATAAAATAAAAAAATTAAAGATTTAAATGTGAGACATTCTTGTATGTAATGAAATGATAATAGATTGGGCAGATTTAATAAATGATGTTCCTGAAAGATGGTTGTAACTTGTTTCAGTTGCTTAAGGATTTATAAACATTTTAGATTATTAAAAATGTTTACGGCTTTCTTTGAAATATTAGTTTCCATTAAAAATACTTGTTCCATTTTTCCAAATATCACATTCAAAACCTGCTAACTTTATTTACTTTACCATTTATTTTGATAAAAGTGGTATAATTTGTTATAAAATAGTGTAGTTTTGTTGCCATTTACCGATCGATAATTTCGTAGGCTTTAAAATTATCTAATGTACAAAGGGCACTAATTGCTGCATAAGTTGCTGCCAAATGTGGTATTTGACCTGGCCCACCTTAAGACATTATTAAATAGAATAAATTGTAATATAACAATTGTACTTAATATATTTTATGTTAATTAAAGGGTAAGCGGAAAATAATTTTAAAGAGAAATAACCCGAAAAAAATTCTTCTGGAAGATAATTCACCTGAAAAAATATCCCAGGAACCCCATTTTTTAAATTTTAAAATATATTGCTGAAAGTAATTCCCCTGAAAAAAATACCACTAACAATTTTTTTAAATTTAAAATAAAACCCAGCAGCCAAAAAACTAAAATATTTCTTAAACATTATTATCTCAGTAAAGATGCAGCATTAAGTTGTAATTCTTTTTTTCGAATTTTTTTAAGCAAATTTGTAAAAATATATATTACAAATATAAATATGTTATGATTTCAGTAAAGATGAAATATATTTTAACTTTATTTTGAAGAAAATGAGTTAAAATAATATATTAAACGTTTTTGTTTGTATTATACGATTAGTGTTAGTGAATTTTATCTGTTTTTAGTCGATCTTCGGTCGGACTGGACTTGTCCATTTTGGAAAGAAAATGTGACACCATAATATCATGAAGTGAGATGAAAACGAAACGATTACAATAGATTATTTTACAATGCTCAGATAAAAAATTATTTGGATAACTATTTTTTTTAACAGGGATTGAGAATATGAGGATTAAATTCATGTTGAAATAATCATTATTATTTTCTAGTTTATTGAAAAAAGTTTATATATACAACCATATTTGAAGGCAATGTGAAAAACCTCAATTAAAATCTCCCAATTTGGTATTTAAAATATTTTATAATAAATGTGTAAAATTTTAGGTAAAAATAAATATTTTTTAGACAATTTCTTATAAACATTTTTCCAGTCATAATAAGCTTTTAAAATATCTTCTCATAAATATCAAAAAGCTGGGGAAAATGTTTAAAATGCAAATCAAAATATATTTTATTTTTTAGAATTATTTGAAGCCTCAACATTTCGAGGGTTGAATTTAAAACAAATTTCAAATTTAGATTTATTTAAAGCAGAGACTTGCCGGCCCGGGCCAAAAATAGTATGATATTAAAAATCTGGGCCGATCTTAAAAATTAGAAATTCGGACCGGCTTATTAAAATTAAATGCTAGCTTACGGTAATATTTTGCTTAATATCACAAACTAGGTATCCAGCAGCTAATTAGGTTAGGGATATGAAGAGTTAAGCAGAGTTGTTAACACTCCTTTTTTTAAAAGTAGCTAGCTACCGCTCCCGCTACTAAAGTTTTAAAAGGAGCTGGGTCCCGCTCCAAGTAATGGAGTGCCACTCCATAACCTTTTTTTTTAAAGTACACGAAACAAAATCATATTTTTTTATCAAAAATTTTTTATTTATATTAAATGATATATCAAAATATTTATAATCTTTTATTAGCTTTTAAAAGTAATAAATTTTCTAAATTTGAATCTAACAAACATCCATGCCTCTCCCCTAAAACCTGTTTAGCAATAATAAATAGGCGCTCAACAGGAGCACTAAGGAAGCGGGGTATTGTATTTATAAAAATAGTTGTCCAATATATTATCTTCCTGATGATCAATTTCATAATCCAAAAAATCTTCTAAATCATTACAGGGTTCCCGTGAACTAGTAGCTATTTTTGCATCAGGAATTTGTTTTCTTAAAAAATAAATTAATTTGTATTTTAGTTACAAATTTTGTGCATTTTTTATCCATTCCCAATTTAATTTGAAGGCAGGATGGATAATAGCTCCAATAATATTTTCATCATTATAAACATTTGAAAATCTGCAATAAAGTTATTTAAATAGAATAATTTATTTTTTATTTCGACTTCTTCTTCTATGATGTCTAACATAACAAAAACTATTTTTTATCATAATTCTATAAAATGAATATTAATATGACTTACAAGATTTTCCAAGAAATTTTCAATATAAAAAGAAAGAAAAAATTGATTTTAATATTTTAACTGATTAGATGTAAAACCAATATAAAACTCGGGCTCAACATTTAATATTGCATAAATTTAAATTAAATAAAATTTCATTTTTATTGAATTTTAATTAAAAAATAAATAGATTTATTAATATTTAAAAAATAATTTAATTTATACATTAAATTTAAAAGAGCGGTGGAGCGGCGCCCCTCCACTCCAGCCCTAAAAGGGACTAGCTCCCACTCCTGATTTAAATTAAATCATTTTTTAAATATTAATAAATCTATTTATTTGTTAATTAAAATTTAATAAAAATGAAATTTTATTTTATTTTATTTAAATTTATGCAATATTAAATATTGAGTGGAGTTTTATAATGATTTTTCATCTAATCAGTTAAAATATTAAAAATCAATATTTTCTTCTTTTATTATATTGAAAATTTCTTGGAAAATCTTGTAATCATATTTATATTCATATTATAGACATATGATAAAAAGTTTTTGTTATGGATCCAGACATCATAGAAGAAGAAATCGACATGAAAAATAAATTATCTATTTAAATAACTTTATTGCAGATTTTCAAATGTTTATAATTGTGATAATATCATTGCGGCTATTATCCATCCTGCATTCAAATTAAATTGGGAATGGATAAAAAATGCACAAAATATGAAACTAAAATACAAATTAATTAATTTTTTAAGAAAACAAATTCATGATGCAAAAATAGCTATTAGTTCATGTGAACCCTGCAATGATTTGAAAGATTTATTTGGATTCCATGAAATTGAGTATTAGGAAGATTATATATTGGACAAATATTTTTTAAATAATGATATCAAAATAACTATTTTTTATAAATTTCCTGAATTAAAAAATATTTTTATAAAATATAATACCCCGCTTCCCTCTAGTGCTCCTGCTGAGCGCCTGTTTAGTATTGCTAAACAGGTTGGATTGTTAGATTCAAATTTAGAAAATTTATTACTTTTAAAAGCTAATAAAAGATTATAAATATTTTGATATACCACTTAATATAAATAAAACTTTTATGATAAAAAAAATATGATTTTACTTACTAAAAAAAATGAAAATCAAAGGAGCGGCTATGAAGAAGGAGCTAGCTCCTTTTGAGAAGGTAGGAGCAGGAGCTAGCTACTTTTAAAAAGGAGCGTTAACAACTCTGGTTTAGGATAGTGTTGTTAATTTGCTTGGTCGTAAAATTTACGGCCCAATTTTGTGCTCAGGCACAAACCCGGGGAATAGAATTTATTTATTTTCTTGCTAAACATAAAAAAAGTTTATGATTATTTGGATTTGACATGTCTGCTATATAATTATAATAACAATATGATTTATTATTTAGAAATAAGTTGTTAAAATTTGGAAAATAAAATAAGTGTGAATTTCAGAAAAACTTAATTGAATGGGATAAATAAAACAACTTGTAATAAATCACAAGAGAAAAAATTGTGATAATTTAAAAGAATAAAATAATAAAGATAGAAATACGGGCGAAGGATGAATGCGCCAGATGGAGGCACTATGCAGGACAGGCCAACACCTTCTTTCTATGACCACAGAGGGAGCGACTGGGATACAAGACAAAGAATGTCGTGCTGGTCCTGTGGCGGTGATCATGTAATGAGGCGTTGTCCAACAAGCAGTGCAGGAAGATGAAGTGTCAGTAAAGGTGAATCCCACGTAAATGAACATAGGGGTAAAGATCAATCTTAGCAAAGAGGTGTTGTAATAATTAGTTTTTATTATTCTAAATGTTATAATTTGGTACTTGGCTAGGATAATTTTATATTATTCATAATATATTCTGTTGAATTAGTCTTTTTTTATAAATTATGAGATATGTAATAATGTTTATGGAAATTAGTGAATTTTTCTTTCCTCGATCAAGAATTGGAGTGCCTCGACATTTTCAAAATTTTTGAGTTAGAAGTGGATAATAACTTATTTACTTCCAATATATATATATATATATATAAATAAAAACTAGATTAAAAAATATTGATTTTTGCCAAAGTTATAGTACTGTCAATTTTGCGCTATTTGCATATAATGATGTAATTTTTGCTTCATAAACATGACCTATCCTATTATCTTATTTAATCACGTGTTATATTTCCTTCTTTTTTAATTTTTTGCTTTTCCATATTAAATCGTAAAATATTTTTATTCCATATCTATCCTAAATTATTTTACTGTCAAGGTAAATTTTTAATAATTGATTTTAAAATTTATTATAATTCATTATTTTGTACTATGACTTTATAAGTTTCATTAATAATTTTATATATAAAATTACTCCTTGTAGTGGATATTTTTGTGTGTTATATTATGTGAATTAATTAATATTATGTTAGAAGTGTGTAAGACCTTCTTATAATTGTATCATTTTTTGTCAATACACCATATCTAACCTACCTTTAGTTATATTATAAAATGTTATCATTTCAGGCTTGCTTGAATCATTTTTATTAACATTTTTATCATGGTGAAAAGTTGATAGCATTATGACATCCTTTTTTTTCTTTGATATGATAATAAAGTTATTTTTTCATATTCAGCTCAAATATATGAAAAATGATATTACATTTTAAATAATTTTATTATATTTACTTTCAATAATTTAAAGGAAGTCTCAATTATAAAATACTTTATGATTTATATACTAAAAAATGTAATCAATTATCAAGAATTCCTGTTAAAGATCAATATTACATGAATAAATTAGAAAAAATTAAGATATAGTGTTAATTTCAATGATTTCAAGTTGTTGTTTTGAATATATTTAAATTTATTAAATTCTAATAAAAAAATGTAAATAAAGCATTTAGAACACCAAAAATAAATCATAAAATGTTATATTTGCTTCACTTGTATTTTAATTTTATCAAATAAATTTTATATTAAAATTTTTTAGCCAATAATTAATTAACAATATGATAAATTAACTCTGAAATTTTTAAATATATTGAACAACAAGTTTTTCCTATATTTGATTTTAAACTTTAATATTGATTTTCTCATTTTAAACATTTGCG